TATTAAGGCCAGGAATATATTCCTAATAATTTTGGTAATCTTGCATTCAAGGTGGGAAAAAATAACTTCAAAAGATGTAAGACTGCATTTCAGTTGCAGTGCTTCATTCTATACTCAACAAGTCCTCATTGGCAGTTCACAAACTATTTTACAAAGGATCAAGAACATTTGCTCTGAGTGGAGAAGGGTTTATGGTGAGCTGGGTTTCCTACCTTCATGAGGAAGAAAAGCAGGATGATGACGAAGACACTGACTTTGGGATGGATCCAGGCAGCAGATTTCCCTAGCATCCGAGGGTCCCCTGTGTATCTTGCCCAAGTATAGTTATCAAAGAGAGTGCTGATGACTTCCCGTGGCATCAACTAAACAGCAAAAAAACCAGGCATGAGCCATGAGATTAAATGGAGTCAATATTCTACCTCTGTTCCAAGAAAGTGGAAGAGAATTTATTTGGTAATTCATGATTATGAGACTTAATTCACATTTTTAATCTTCAGGAAGAGAGATGGGACTTTACCTGAATTGGTGAAAGGATAGCTAATTTCACACATAGGGTAACATCTTCCTTAGGACTTGCTTAGGAGAGTAGACCTTTTTCAAGTTCTATATGAAGGAGATAGCAGAGACTATAAAGTCTCAGAATATAGTCCCTCCTCAGCCCAAACTCCTCCCAAATCTTTCTTCCCCTTTCCATAATGTAAAACCTTATGGTTTATTGGGACACAGGATAAAGGGAGATGGTTCTGCAGAACTGCACAGAATTACAAATACACATCCCACTCTCACCTCTCCTGCCATGAACTGCCCAAATCCTGGAGGAAAGGTCATGGTTGCTAAGAGAAAGGTTATAACCCCAGGGTAAACGAGGCGGCTGAAAAGAAATAAAAGTTTATTAAAATATAACCTTGCACTATCACTTCAGGACTATGAATGGTATTTCTGTCAAAGCTCTCTGCCACATCTGTATCCATTGCTTTGGAGTTCTCTTACTGGCAATTTAATGCCCTGCTCTGCTCATCATCATTATTCATAGAGAGTTTAACTGTCAGCAAAGCCATTTTTCCCATCAGAATTTATGTAATAGGAGGGGTGGAGGGAGAGAGGGATGTACAAAATGTACAGACCTGAGTACATAGAGGGGGCTGTGTACTTACAATGGTGTGTGGGCCTATTGCCAAAAGCCATCACCTCCTCCATTTGTCCTGATTATGCCAGTCTTGCCTTTTCATCCCCCATGCAAAGTAACCTGTTCTAGTGTATTTAAATGTAGGTTTTTCCATACATTTCTGCATACATCCCCCATTGCACAAATTCTTATGAGAAAAACTGCTTTTCTTTCCATCAAACTGCTGACTGTCACAATTTTTGGGGAAGGTGTCCTTGGTGGCCAGTGGGCCTAGCTGTGCTGGACCAGTGGGGCATAGCTGGACAGCAGGCTGAAGCCATCTGTGTTTTCCTACTGCTATGTCCAATCCCAGGATGGGTTTCTGGGTACACTGCAACACTTCATGGGCACGAAGACGACATGAGTCTAAGCTGCCTTCACATGCTGTGTTCACAGTACTGTCATCATCATTCATGTTCCCTGTGAATTACTAACAAATTACTATGTTCCCTACAGGAAGTTCTGGCTAAGATGCTGTGGTATTCAAGAAGACAAAACATAACCTTTAATTTCTTTCAGTCTAAGAACCTACAAAATTCTGAGAAATTAGAAACTCTGACTTTCTGAGTCAAAAGTTCAAAGTAAATTCCCACTTTTCAGGCTTTGCTCCACTTCTCTATTAACTCTGTTTGATGGCTTTGCTGGTGCTTCTGGGTAATGCTACTCAATGAAGAAAGACAATTTTTCTTCCACATAATAAATTGTTAGTTTGAACTTCATTTTAACAAGTGGTTTCCTTCTGCTCAGATCTGCAACTTGCTAAGAAGTGTAGGTCCTCCACACCTCTCAAATTAAAAATTATCACAGCATCAGATTTCTTCTGTAGAGGGACTGAAGACATGTACAGTTAGCCACCTTTTCGCTTTCAGTTTGTAACTTTGGAGGTTGTAACTTTATCAGAGAGAGGAAAAAAGTATCTTCAAGTGCCCTGTAAAACCTTGATTGCTAAGATTTTTATTTTCCTTTGCATTTCTCTTCCATGCTGCAATTCATACCACTTGGTTACTATCAGTTTCAGCTTTTGGTTCGTAAGTGTGCAGTAATTGCAATACTGCAGCATATTCTTTACATTTTTGGCCTACCTTTTGATTAAAAAACCCCTCAGGTTTTAAAGATATAATTAGATTTCAGTTGTATTTAATTTTCTCAAATATAAATGACATTGAATTTATTTTTTACACATTCTTAAAAAAAAAAAAATCAGAAGCAGCACAATGTAGAAGCATGATCATTGATTTTCTAATTAAAAAAAAAATTCTGTCCAATCAGTAGTTTCCCTTGTCCTCTTAATGGATATTATAGAGTCTCCCTTCTAAATCAAGAAGCTATTTGAAACTATTTGGCTGGCCAAGAATAAAATCCAGCTCAGAACAAATTCTCTTTATGTTTCTAGATATCTTACTCTCATATAATTTCAATTTCTCATATTTTTACTGTCTTAGACTTGAAATAGTTCTACTAACTTCTAGAAAGCATTTGTTACTATCCAATACCAGTTAGGTATAGAAATCTGGTCCTTAAAGAGAGTATCTTCAAAGGCACTCACTATTTGGTGAGAAACTGGCTCAGAGCCTTATGACGCCGGATGCATAGGACCACTTGGCGATTGAGATAAACAAAAAATGCTCCAAAGAATCCAGAACATATCCTAAAATGGAGAAAATGAAATAAAATTATACCAAAAAATAGGTAATGCAAAAACCACCAACCGAGGAAATGAGTTTGTTTTTAGTAGAATCATAGAATAGTTTTAAGATCATTGAATCCAACTGTAAACCCAACACTGCCAAGTCCACCACTAAACCATGTCCCTAACCACCACACCTACAGGGCTTTTAAATACCTCTGGGAATGGTGATTCCACCACTGCCCTGGGCAGCCTGTTCCAATGCTTGGCAACCCTTTCAGTGAAGAAATTTTTCCTAATATCCAATTTAAAACTCCCCTGGTGCAACTTGAGGCCATTTCCTCTTCTCCCGTTGCTTGTTACTTGGGAGAAGAGACCAACGCCCACCTCTCTACACCCTCCTTTCAGGTAACTGTACAGAGGGACAAGGTCTCCCCTCAGCCTCCTTTTCTCCAGGCTAAACAACCCCAGTTCCCTCAGCTGCTCCTCATCAGACTTGTGCTCCAGACCCTTCACCAGCTTCGTTGCCTTTCTCTGGACACACTCCAGTGCCTCAATGTTCTTCTTGTAGTGAGGGGCCTAAGACTGAACACAGTATTTAAGGTGCAGCCTCACCAGTGTCGAGTACAGGGGCACAATCACTGCCCTACTCCTGCTGGCCACACTATTTCATCTTCAGCTATTTATGATGTCTTTTAAATGTCACCTAGTGAGTTACTCCTACAGCAACTCACTTGTAGACATTGACTCCCTGATGAAAGTGGAGAGATTATTTTAGATCTCTTTGTCACGCACACTGCCATTTTACCACTTTAATTTTCTCTTGCTTAGAGGAGAAAATCTAATCTGTAAAAACCTATAAAATGATCTATAAAAAAAGGAATGAAAGATCTCAGTGGGGACTGGAGGAGAGCAACTGGGCACAGACTAGTATTGTCAGAACTTAGACATCAGGTTGGAGCAGGAAAAAGTAAAAATTAAGGGAGTTTAACTCTGATTCGGCAAAATTATATACCTACATCAAATGTTAAAAGTAATAGCAACTCTGGTGCCTAAAGCAAAATATGTACTCTCTACGATTCTAATCACAGAGGCCTGTGTTCCTGATCCTGATAAAGTCAAAAAAGTATAGTTGTCTAAGGACTGGCCTTGATCCTTGTGCTCTCTAGCTTAGTGAGATTGCATAAATAAGGCCTAATATTCAAAGGTGAAGTAAAAAAAAAAAAAAAAGTGTGTAAAAAGAGTGCATTTAGAATTGGTAAGGGAAAATATTATTTTATGTGGTAAATAATTAACCTACAGAATAATGAGGATAAACAGATAACATTTTAATTCTTTTAATTTTTAAAATTAATGGAATTTTCCTTTGTTATATATCATGCAGGCCTTTGCCAAATCTCATTCAAAGATTAATTTAGCTTACTTAAAAAAGTTTTATGCTGAAAAAATCCTACTTGACAATTTAAAAATTGCATAGAAACAAATTTAAACTAAATATAAAGCTGTTCAGAGAAAGACATGTCCAATGAGCTTCCCTTAAATATTTTAAGCCAGCACTGTTTAGCACTACTGTTAAAACAGACCAATTCCTTAGGCAATATAAGCCTAAGGGCTGCACAGTGAACTGAATTTCTTTAGAATACTTTATATTAAAAAATAGATCCCTCCATTCCTGCATATCAATTTGTCAATAGACTAGAAGTGCTTCTCCTGCATACATTTCAAAATTAATAACATTTTCTGAAGCAGAAGAACAAGATCTGCCTGTTGATATACTTTGGCTGGCTCAGTTTTTTTGTCCTACCTGAAAGTGAAGAGTTATGTTGGATAGAAAGAGAGTTCAACTTTGAGACTCAATGTTAAAAGACTTTGGAGCATTCTGAGTTGGCATCGGGACCTTATCCAAGACTATCTAAGCCTTTAGCTTTTTTTTTTTTTTTTTTTTTTTTTTAACTACCCAGGCATTTGAAAGCATTTCACAGTTGTCATATACTCACTCCTTTCCTAGCCTATGGGCAGTACTGCAAAAAACCAGCTCTACCAACTCTATCCAAAACTGAATGACAAGAAGTTTTGCATTCTATCAGCTGTAAATCATAAGGATTACCTTTGTCCTTTCCAGTCTAACCACATAGATTCCCCTGAGTTCAGTATGCAAGTCTATTTAAGGAGAATAACAAAGCGGATACCTGTTACTAGCAAAAGCTCCTGTATATTCATAGATTTTCAGTATATTTGATGTCTTCAAAAAATCCCACTCAAGTTCATATTCAAGTAAATTAATACGAGAGCAGCCTACTAAAAGGAGCTAGAAAACCTCAGCTATATTTCTGGTCTTGGATCCAGGTCTTGCAAAAGAATATGTACACAGTGCCAGCACTGTTCTTTGTTCCAGCAGTATATTCCCCTCACTACTGCTCTGCAGTGATTTCCCTGGAGACTCTCTGAAGCTCTAACCCAAGACTTTACCTCAATTCCACACTCAGTTTTTCTCTAGTATCTCCCAATTCTCTTCTCATTTTTCTTAATTTCATTCTTTCATTTTCCAAAATTTTCCCCACCAATGAAACCAACATGGATATCACCAAAAATAAATAAAATAAAACTGACACTCCTCTTAATAAATTAGCTGTTTTTCTCACTGGTTCCAATTATGGTTCAGTTACCCTTGCCACCATGTCAAGTGTACCAACCTCCCTTGAAAAGGGTAATTATTCTGACCTTGTAAAAGGGAAACTTCCTGTTTAAATCTTTTGTCCTGTTTTTGTCAAAGGAAAAGCATATACTTGTTGGGTCAGTTAATTTGGGAATGCCATCAATATGGTTAAAGGGCCATTCAGTAAATCTATACCTAGACCAAGTTAAACTCACTTTGTTTGTTTTTTTAATTTATTTTTTCCCAGAACTTAATTTCTGAAAAGATGTATGGAAAGGAAATATTAAATAGCTTGATAATAATCACATTTCCTTCCTTACCCATTGTGTTGCCTGGGCACCATATCTGAAGGAGGAATCCCAACAAGCAGAGGCCTTAATTGTGACAATCAAACTGTTTAAAAGAGCTGTAACTCTTGCAAAAATATTCCTAATAGAGCTCACATGATAACCTTTGTGGACCAAAGAGCCAGGCTCCTGGGAACTTACCCTATTACAGCAAATGCTGGCAGCTCTTGCAGATCGAAGGGGAAATCCATGCGAAAATTTGTTCTAAACAGGGCTGTGATGGTATCTGTGAGAGGAAAAAGAGGTAGAGGAGGAAAGGGAATTGAGAAGTTGAATGCTGTAAAAGCTAGGAGCAGGGAGAGGGGAACTAGTAATTTACATGGTCCTTTGTGGTTTAATGACATTATATACAATATTACAGATTGGCAGACTGCTCTGATTTTAGCAATGCCTGTTTCCACGGTTAGCAAATGGGCCTAAGTTGCAGCAGCCAACCAGAACGGGCCAGGTGTTATTTGGAAAGTACAGAGAATGGTGTAAAGCCAGCCAACAAAGCCATCAGTCACCAGAAGCTAGCAAAGATTTTATGGGTTTAAGAAAGAAAAGAATTTTGGTGAGGTGCTACACAACTTATTTGTACCCATGTACTCTGATGTGATTGCTTCTCTACCTGTTTCTTCCTGGTAGCAATGATGCAGCTTGGAGGTAAAATAATTACAATAAAAGAAGTGTTAAAGAAGCTGCATAAATATACTATCATAATTCACAGGATTGCATTGCAGTATTGTAATGCCTTCCAATAAATCCATTTGATAGCCACATCTGCTTGGAACTCTTTACATTTTATCTCAAACATATTCTGGAAGAAGATGGCAAATGCTTGCCTAAGCAGGAAACTTACTTCACATATTATGTATGAATTTGCAATAGTTTACATGTTCCACATGAACATTGCAGGCAGATGTGCATAGTGCACAGTGAGAGAAGCATTTTCTTCTGCTTTCAGGTACATTAACCCGCCCCATACAATGGCTTGCTTACTGGGTGATAGCAGCGGCCATACAGGAAACTAGCACAAAGACATCTGATTATCTACTGAGTGCATAACTTCTGCGGGTAGACAAGACTTTAGAGATTGTGAAGACATCATAGAATCATAGAATGGTTTGGATTGGAAGGGACCTTAAAGATCACCTAGTTCCAATCCCTCTGCCGTCAGCAGGGACACCTTCCACTAGATCAGGTTGCTCAAAGCCTCATCCAGCCTGGTCTTAAACACTTCCAGGGAGAAGACACAAGAGGGGACACAAGAAAAACCTTTGCACAAACAGTCTGAAAAGACCAGGCTTGTAACTTTCAGAAGGAAATGAGCAAGAAAAGACATGAAAGATAAGTTAGAGTAAGCATGATAAAAGATCATAAAATAATGAGTGACTTAGCTAGACAAAAGTTTCTACTTCCTTAATAAAAGGATGAGGAGACCAGCAACACAGACAAAGAAAATTTGAAACTATGAAAAGGAACTATTTTTCATAGACAATTGGATCACGGAACTTTATAACCCAGACAATCAATGAAGCAGAATGTAAGGAGCCATTAATGTGCATATTAAAGCTGTCTGGATGATTTTGAAGAAGAGGCAGTAATTAAGATGTTTCAGGATTAAGATAATTTCTAATGATTTGAGACATCAGCAAGGGAGTTAGAGTAGATAAAAATGGAGGATAGGAGATTATGTCCTGTCATCTGGCTTCAAATTTCTTAAATTTTCCTTTGGAAAGAATAGAAAGATATAGTTTTTGTGACAGATCTGAATACCCCTCAGTATGAGGCAGTGTTTCACAAACAAAGATGTAGTTACTTTCTACATTGAAGTAGAAAATGTGGTCACTTTCTATAGTCAGGAGAATATTCAAGCCAAATCATGTTTTAGCATAAAACAATACCCAACACCGTGAAGTCAAGAGAGCCATAAGTTATAGCAGGTTTCAATAAGGGAACTGCCCACATGGAGCTCAGATCAATAAAATAGATGTAATTGTAAGAAAAAAAAGATAAAGACATTATAAGCAAGAAACTTACAAAGAAATGTCAGCCTTCTGCATCAGCTGGAACTCCATTCCACAGTATCTGAAACGCTCTCCTGAACAAGCTTGTCCTATTATTTCTTTCTGCACAAATGTTGCACTCATGCTTTTCAGTGACTTGAGACAGTTATTTTTTCAGGACCTTCAGTCATACCCTACCAATCCTGTAGTCTCCTAATCATTTTACCATCTCAATTTTCTAGACTAATTTGTTTTTATGCTTCTAGTCAAAAGATAACCAAAGCAGACCGTGGCATTTCCAGCAGAGCGCAGCAGCATACACTGCAGTATGTATTATATCCTCTGCAATGGGATACCTCTATGTTTACAGCCTTGACATTATGCTGAGTAGAGGCAAAAATCCCACCTCAGAGGCTCTCTTACTTGATGGGGACTCATATTCAGTCATTTTTCAGTCATATCCTCAACACACCTAGGAACAGGTTGTATAATTGATGACGTAAAAAACTTCCCTTCCTCTTCCCTTCTGTACTGCTGGAATTGACATGTCATGGCAGAAGTTTCAAACATCATGCAAGGTTGTGGTTTTGAGGAAGATGGAAAATAATAAATCAACAGAGGTACTTTTGTGCAGTGTAGGAATGGTTTGTAGCTTACCTGCATCCTTGTTCCAAACAGCAAGGACTCGGAAAATGAAGGCACTAAAGGTAGCTGCAAAGAAACCTCTCCAATAATTGCGCACGGCAAAGTAAGTGGAAGTGACCTCAATGCTGAAAAGGACCCCTAGAAAGAGTTGGAAAGGGAGCAAAGTTAAAATCAGAAGTGTAATGTTAGAAGCATGGGAGGCTTCTAAATAGTCTTCTAGAGCAGTGGTCTCCAAACTTCTTTGATCACACACCCCTATCAATAAAAAATAGTTGAGCATGTATCGCCCAATATATGTGTATTCATTTAAAAATTATATACGTGTACTATTGTACCAATATATTATGTACAATATAAAACATACCCCAAAAATAGAAATTAAAAAAGAATGAGCATCTCTCTGCTGAGGAAAGGCTGAGAGACCTGGGTCTGTTCAGCCCGGAGAAGAGCAGACTGAGAGGGTATCTCATCAATGCTCATCAATACCTAAAGGGCAGGTGTCAAGAGGATGGGGCCACTCTTCAGTGGTGCCCAGCAACGGGACAAGGGGCAACAGGCACAAACTGGAACAGAGGAATTTCCAGCTGAAGATGAAGAAAAACTTATTTATTCTGAGTGTGCCAGAGCCCTGGAACAAGATGCCCAGAAAGGTTGTGGAGTCTCCTTCTCTGGAGATATTCACAACCCACCTGGACGCCATTGGGCAGCCTGCTCTAGATGTACCTGCTTTGGCAGGGAGGTTGGACCAGACGATCTCCAGAGGACCCTTCCAACCCCTACCACTCTGTGATTCTCTGATTCTGCAAAGATTAAACAAACAAAATTCTAAATATTATTTATTTATTTATTACTGGATTTTTTTGTTCTCACTCAAAATATTTATATTCTTTATTTTAGAGAATTTTGGTTTAACACTTTGTGATACAGTGACTCAGAGGTCTAGGTCTATGTTCAGTTTATTTTGATACTTGGTCTTAATGGCTGTCACAGATAAAAAAGATATCTCACAAAGATACGTAGATCCAAATGCAAGAAATGCATCATTGGCTGTGCTGACTAAATCATAATACTAGGTTTTCAATCCCATCCACCACTTATGCAAAGATTTTTATTTAAATTTGGATAGTGAATTTCCATCTTCCCTTGTGTCAATCAGTTGTTCTTGCAAACTAGTCAGAAGGTGTTGTTTTTTCATATCTTTAGCAAATGGGTTCAAAACCCACTGAAACTCTTAATCTGGAAGATTTTTAAACAGGTTAGAAAGTTCTGTTTCCACGATTTTAAAGTGTACACTTGTGACAGTTTTTATAGGTGACACATTTACATTGTATTTGGCAACAAATTCACAAAATCTCCCCAAGTTTCTTTTGGAAAGAAGTTGCTTTCTCACCCACTGTTAGAATGTCACTTTCACCTTGAAGGGGTTTGTCAAATATGTTTATTTTTTCCAAAACAACTGCTGGGTAGAATAGTACTGACAGATACTTGTCATCACAGAAAAGATCAGCAAATTCAGAATACACTTCTTTTTTTGTAAAAGAAAAATATGTAACTGGTCTTTAAATTCAACAAGTCTTTTGAAAGTCCATTGCCAAGAGATAACCAGCAAATGTCTGTGTGGTACAAAAGTTTATCATAGTCACTCCCCATCTTGTTATGAAGTAGTGTAAAGGTTGTACTGTTCAAATGTCTTGGTTTTATGAAATTAACCATACTGGTGACATCCTGTAGCACTCTGTGCCTGTCTGGCTCCCATTTCTTTACTTCAATAGCTTGCCTATCAGCAACGCAGTGAATTTCAGGTGTGGTGCTATCTGTGTAACCTCATCACTTTTCTTATGCCAAGTCAAAGCAGTTGCTCCCCTGGTCATTACACTTGCACAGCTTTTTTACAAAACATGTTTATTAAAGAAGTAATTTACTGTTGAGAATATAGCTCCTCTGGTAGATCTTTCCTTCAGCGGCTCACAGAAGGTGGTTCTTCACATCTTTCACTATCAAAACAATCTAGCAAGTAACATAAGCTGAGACATGTTAGAAACATCTGCCCTTTCATCCAGCTGCACAGCAAGCCTCTCACACTGTGTAATTTGTGCTGATACTTGTTTCTTCAGCAGTGTTTTCTGATTAGCTGGTCATTGTTTTTACCTCAGAATGTGGCTGATTAAAAGCTTCTACCAGGAGAATCATAGAATCATGGAATGGTTTGGGTTGGAAGGGATCTTAAAGATCATCTAGTTCCAATCCCCCTGCCATCAGCAGGGACACCTTCCACTAGACCAGGTTGCTCAAAGCCTCATCCAGCCTGGCCTTGAGCCCTTCCAGGGGGGGGGCAGCCACAGCTTCCTTGGGCAACCTGATCCAGTGTCTGACCACCCTTACAGTGAAGTGTCAGCTCTGCCATTTTCTTGTCAGTCGTCTGTGCTCACATTATCAGTATTCAATCTCTTTGCAGGAATCTTTTTAAGCCATAGTATTCTCTTCAATCTCTTTGCAGGAATCTTTTTAAGCCACTTGTCCATTTTCTGAGGGTTAGTTTAGTTAACACTAAATCATATAATCTGTACATCCACTTAAGTGGGCACACATTGATTGCAATACATTGCAATATGGTGAAAGTGAGCAAATGAGTGAGTGCACCACTGCCAGCCCTCTGTGTTGTGAGCAATTCTACAGCCAGGACACCTCATGCACTGTAAGTGACAAGTGGCCATCTGACACATGGATCGAGTGAGGGCACCAGTGTCAATAGGTGTACTGAACATTAGTAAAGCCTATTTTATTTCTTATTTTTATAGGTTTTTTTTTTTAAAAGGAATTCCAAAATTTTCTTCTCACACCCCAGTAGATCATGTTGCACACCCCCTGGGGTATGCACACCCCAGTTTGGAGACCACTGTTCTAGAAAACCTTCCCCTCTTGCCTCTGGGAGGCTGACAACATGTGGGAAAAAGACTGTGTCAGAGATGCAGGGAAGGTTGGTTACATTAAAGGTAAGTTTCTTTGTTCGAGGTAAATGACAGATCAAAAATACAAGTGCAGGAAAGGGGGAGAGGAGAAGACGACTAGGCAGGAGAGGATTTAGGTACCTGAGAAAAAAGAAACAGAGCAGCCACTTGCCTCCAAGTGGTGTCCCAAAGCAGCAGCCGACCCCCACAGCGCAACCCACGGTCAGGACATCTGTGTAATAATATGGCTGCTACTGGTGAAAGAGACAGAGAGAGACAGACAAACAAGAAAGAAGGAAGGAAAGCAGGGAGTGAGTAACAGAATTGGCAGGTATGGCCACATGCTGTCACCCAGCTCTGTCACCAGTCTTAGAGTTACAACTACATTTATCTCACTTCTCCCTTCTGGATGGCTTCAAAATATTCAAAAGATAAGATCTGGTACAAGACAGGCATACACCTGGAGTCAGATTTTCAAGACACACAGAGAAGGCAGAATCTCATCTTTCGTTGAAATATGCACGTTTCTGTCACTGTAGAAGAAATGTCTTGTGGAAAATCCTCCAAAGCGTGGAGGTCACACATGTATGTTTTACTCCACCTCTTTTAGTTTGTCAGGAAATCTCAGGATACACACATGTCAGAGAGTGCCTCAAAAAACTCACCCTGTGAGTTTGTGTGTACAAGGCACATGCATCTCCAGATCTGAGTGTGGACAGATGCTGAAGGTCCTGTCACTCTGGGTAGCTGAGTAGGTAACAGATCACCTAGTAAAGCGTTGTGCTGTCCTGGTGAAAAAAATCACGATAACAAAGGGAAATGGAAGGTATACAAGGTAGAGTCTCCCCTGAGACAGTTTTGAAGACATAGAGTTGTTGAAAGGGAGAAAATGCTCTCCTAGTCTTTCTCCAAGATTTGGCCCTGAAATGCCTGAGAATGGTGAAAGTTAAGCAAATAGGTTTCTTCTTTCTTTTTTCTGTTGTCTAAATCCTAGGTGGTGTGTAATACACCAGTGTTAAAAGCCTGTGTATTTGGTACTTTCCACTGTCATGTCTTCCCAAAGTAGCCTGTCAGATCTCCCATAAGAGTTTTGAGAAAGGGTGGTCTTGTGTTACGGTGGGCCATGTGGTAGACTGAGTGGCCAGGATGAATTCTAAGGCCAGAAGGTCATGAATTCCTGTTTACCTGAGCAGGTGTTTGATAGAGCCTCAACCAAGAGGTGTCTCAAGGCTGTCTCTGCACAGTCCAACAAAAAAGGGCCATGAACTGTTTGCTGACCCAGAACAATGTGTCCTTATCCACAGCTTTGTCCTAGGTAAGTTCTGGGTCCTATTGCTGCCCCTGTGGCCTTAATATATAATAATGTCCATACTGGGGATGGGATTCATAGAATCGTTTAGGTTGGAAAAGACCTTTAAGATCATAAAGTCCAATCATAAACCTCACCCTGCCACATCCACCACTAAACCATGTGCCTGAGCACCACGTCTACATGTCTTTTAAATACCTCCAGGGATGGTGACTCCACCACTTCCAAGGGCAGCCTGTTCCAGTGCTTGACAACCCATTTGGTGAAGAAATTTTTCCTAATATCCAATCTAAACCTCCCTTGGTGCAACCTGAGGCCGTTTCCTCTTGTCCTACTACTTATTACTTGGGAGAAGAGACTGACCCCCAACTCGCTACATCCCACTTTCAGGTAGTTGTAGACAGTGACAAGGTCTCCCCTCAGCCTCCTTTTCTCCAGACTAAACAAACGATCCCAGTTCCCTCAGCCACTCTTCATCAGACTTGTGCTCTAGACCCTTCACCAGTTTTGTTGCCCTTCTTTGGACACACTCCAGCACCTCCATGTCCTTCTTGGAGTGAGGGGCCCAAAACTGAACACAATACTCAAGGTACCCACCACTGCCAAGAACAGGAGGACAGTCACTGCCCTAGTCCTGCTGGCCACAGTATTGCTGATACAGGCCAGAATGCTACTGGTCTTCTTGGCCATCTGTGCACAGCAGTGTGCTGGTTCATGTTCAGATGGCTGTTGACCAACATCCCCAGGTCCTTTTCCGCCTGGAAGCTTTCCAGCCACTCCTCCCCAAGCCTGTAGTGTTGCATGGGGTTGTTGTGACCCAAGTGCAGGACCCGGCACTGAACCTTGTTGAACCTCGTTGAACCTCATACAGTTGGTCCTGCCTCATTGATCTAGTCTGTCTAGATTGCTGAGATCTAGATTGCTGCAGAGCCTTCCTACCCTCAAGCAGATCAACACTTCCACCCAGCTTGGTGTCATCTCCAAACTTACTCAGGGTGCACTTGATCTCCTTGTCCAGATCATTGATAAAGAGCTGGATCCAATAATGAGCCCTGGGGAACACCACTTGTAACTGGCTGACACCTGGAGTTAACCCCATTCTCCACAACACTTTGGGCCCAGCTACCTATCCAGTTTTACACCCAATGAAGAGTACATTCTTGTCCAAGCCATGAGCAGCCAGTTTCTCCAGCAGAATGCTGTGGGAAATGGTGTCAAAGGCTTTACTGGGGTCTAAGTAGATAACATGCACAGCCTTTTCCTCATCCACTAATCAGGTCACCTTGATGTAGAAGGAAATCAGGCTGGTCAAGCAGGACTTGCCTTTTATAAACCCATTCTGACTGGGCCTGATCATCTGGTTGTCCTCTATGTGCTGTATGATGGCACTCAAGATGATTTGCTCCAGGTCAAACTGACAGGCCTGTAGTTCCCTGGATCCTCCTTATGGCCCTTCTTGAAGATGGGCATCACATTTGCTATCCTCCAGTCAACTGGGGCCTCTCCAGTTAGCCAGGACTGCTGATACAAGATGGAAAGTGGCTTGGTGAGTACCACTAGCAGCTCCTTCAGTACCCTTGGATGGATCCCACCCAGCTCCATAGACTTGTGTATGTCCAAGTGGTGTAGCAGGTCACTAACCATTTCCCCTTGCGTCACGGGGGCTTCATTCTGCTCCCTGTCCCTGTCTTGCAGTTCAGGGAGCAGGGTACTCCAAGAACAACTGGTCTTAAAGACTGGGGCAAAGAAGGCAGTAAGTACCTCAGCCTTTTCCTCTTCCTTTGCCACAATGCTTCAGTTCGAAGTGACAGGAATAGTGGGAGGATTGTGTTATAGCCCACCAGCTTGATGAAGAGTTCGAAACTGAGGATGTATGCAACATGGCCTGCAGTATGGCGAAAGGTAATTCAAATTGTTTGGACATGCAAAGCCTGATAGGACAGTGTTGAACAGTATGAGATAGAGAGACATCAGTTAGACCACCCTCCTTTAATCTTTTCTCCTTTAGGCTAAGTAAACCCAGCCTCCTCAGTCTGTCCTCATATACCATTACTCCAACCTCACAACCATCTTACTGGCCCTTTGCATCTCTCTTATATGGAGAACCCAAAACTTTACACACTGATATTTCTGTTCTTCAGTCCACTGATGAAGCAATCATATAGTAGTTTCCTGTTCACATTATCACTTCCTATCATACTTGCTATCATCTCCTGCCCTTAGATGTTGCTACTCCTTTCATGAAAGGTTTTTTGAACTTGTGTTCTCTACTCGATCCTTATTGATTTTCTGGACAGGTCTCAGTGCTCTCCAGGTTGAACAATACCCATAGCAGACAGGGACTGAACAAGCTGCATCATTACAAATTAGTGCATTAATAGGTGTCACTTTTCCTATAACCTTCCCTTTCTTTCACCGCCACCAGTTACAGGCAAAAAGAATGAACTCATGTTGCTAAAGCGGAGAGGTATCTGTGGAGAACCTGCCTGAGAGCAGGAAATCTCACAGCAAGAGGCTAAATGAGTTGTACATTAAATGTCACACATAGGAAGACACTTGCCTCCAAGAGGAGCCCCGAAGCAACATCCAACTCCAACTGCGCAAGCCGCCACCAGGAGGTCGAGCTGCCTATGCACATTCTGGAACAGAGAGTGCAGCCAGAGAAGGGCATGCGGGGGTTAGAGGGAGCACAGCCGGGGGGTTAGGATCCAGAACAATGAAACAAAGCAACAGCCAGCAGCAGGTTCAGCCATTGCTATTACAAATAGAAGGCTCTACACACTTTATTGCAAGTCTTTAGTACTGTCAGCTGGTCTTCAGCAGTGACATCTGGTCCTTACTCAGAGACAGGATTTACTCAAGTAGGACAGCACCTCCCATTGTTGTATTACACAGCCAGTCTCTGCTAGGGGCCTGTATGTAAAGCAGTTCCTACATTTAGCTATATATGCAGTTAGATTTTTTAATACAACTAGTCAATACAGTGATCAGCCTGCAGAGGCTGTTCTGTGACAGCAAAAGCCCAGAGAGAGCGTCAGTGCCTAAAATTAGCAATGCTGTATAAATTTGGCTTAAAGACAAATTGATCTTTGTCTGCAGCTACTTTTTTATACAGACAATGATTGCAGTGCAACGGTATCGGCATAAGGAGATTGGAACCTTGTCGAATGCATATTCCTAACCAGTCGCTGTGTAATTGGTAGGTAACATTGGTGATCCTGCACAGTTACTTGACTGTATATCTGGCCTCCCACTACCATTTTCTTTGGCTTGTATTTTACTGCTCTGTAGCAGTACAGTGAACTTCAATCCACATGTTTCCTCTGTATTTTGTGGCCTACCAATACTATGCTATGTGTCTTAGGAGCTGAACCTGTGGAAGACCTGTATGCAGAGATACGTGCCTTACCTCATACACACCACAGAAGATTGACATGAACTTGCTGAGTACTGCAGCACAGATACTGGCAATATGCACAAACGGACCCTGCAAGAGAAGAGGAAGAGAAAACCAGAGAGGATTAGTCACTGTTTACTGACAGCCATTTAACCATTGCAGATCTCATAATTTCTCTTGGCCATCCCAGCCAGTCCTCCAATCTTTTTTTTTTTTTTTTTTCCTCCCTCTTAAGGACTATATCTGACTTGTGTTCTTTGATATTTTCTATATCAAGCCTTTCAAAGTGGAAGGAAAATGGCCAAAGGAAGATAAATGTTGCTGGAAAGAGCAGAGTTTTGAGAAGAGGAATGGTGGCAAAATAAATAAAACATTTATAGACTGTTCTTCCACAGACAACCCCACTCACCTCCCAGACCCTGGCCACTACTGCACATGAAAACAGAAATATTCACCTCTTTCCCCACAGGCATGCCACTTCCAAGCCCAGCTGTGAGGCTCACAACTTTGGCCACAAAAGCTTTGAGAGTGAGATATTCCTTGAGGACCACTCCCCTCATAATGGTCTTGAGCTCTGGGATCCCTGACCCTGAAAACAACAGCAGAGCAGAGGATGAACAAAATCTGCAGGCAAATGGCACAAGAAAAAGAGACAGACAGAAACAGATCTTGCCATGCCTTCTGCCCTCACCAACAGCCTGTGGAGAGACGAGTTGGCAGAAAGTGGCCGCAAACAGAATAAGAACAAGTGGGTAGGAGACCCATGCCAGATACTGCATTGGAACATTCGGGTGCAGCTCTCTGTACATCCACTTGTAGGCTGTAGGTAGACAAACAAAGAAGTTGTCAGTAACCACAGTCACAGACAAGTTGGTAGACATCAAAGAATCACACACTTGATAAACCTGCCCGTACAAAATCTCACTGAGAAATGCCATCCTAAAGTCCTCATTTTCTAAGACAAGCCTTGTAACATTTTGAGGACTGGTTCCCAAATAAAACAGGCATTCTGCAGGAATGGATAGAAGTGGCTCTCTGTTCTTAGACACTGTTAATACCTGTGCCCAAATGTGGCGTAAGAAGTATGTTATGTGCAGTTGTGAGGATGAATCATTGTACAGGGTCTTTTCATTTGGCAGCCCGAGGGCCTTATGTGGGTCCTGGAGGCCAATAAAGTGGTCTGCCAATAGCTAGTGCTCTCTCCTCCACCTTAATCACATGAGAAATCATTCTTTTTTAAAAATCAGATTAATATATGTGCTTATGTTTTGCCTTTTAGAGCAGCAGCATGAAGGGAGCTGTGCCAGCTGTTAAAAAAAGCAGTGGTACCATTGCTCAGCCAAGTACAACAGCGTGAGCTACTGAGAATTCATCTTCTTTGCCTGAACTGGCTTCTCACAGAGAAGGAGGCTGAGACTTAGTGGAGGGGAAGAGAAAAATCCCAAAGAATTCAGCTGCAGGGAGTATGAAGGACAGGGTCCCCCTGAGACTGGTAGGCTAAGCCAGACACCTGGTAGATGGGGAAGCTCTAGAAGGAGGAACACTGGGCTGAAGGGATATTGGGAGCTTTGAGGAACTGCAGTGTCTGGTGAACATCAGCAGCCAAGGGCACTGAGAGGAAAGGGCTGGTGTGAGTGTGCAGGGCAGGGTTGGGACACTGAGGGCAAGGACAAAGGAACAGTACAGTTAACAGGACCTGGGCAATGCTGTATGTGCCTGTGTGGACGGAAATGGGGGGCAGGGAGACTGAAAGATCTTGTCATTGTTATAGCTGGGAGAGAGACCACAGGACAAATGCGTGGAAGGGATATAAGACAGTGATTAGGAGATCTTTGTGAAAAGAGTCAAAGGAGAGAGCACTGTGTGTCCAGGTAGCAGGAAACTGCAGGGCACTGTATAAATAAAAATTGGAAAGAAAAATAATGAGGTAAAAAACAGAAACAGTGTCAAGAGGGCATCTAAGAGCACCTACCCTCCCCACCCTCTATGTGCTAAGTAGACCTGGGGAGGACAGGAACCTGTATAATAGGAAGGACCACAGTATCACTTCTCCTTTTCTCTACTATGTTGCAAGTACTTCAGACTTCCAAGGCAGTGAGGGGTGAGGATGGGGCACTGATGTTACAGGGGGAGGAACACTGGTCATTGGGCTTTGTTAAACATTCATATCATTTATGGTATGCTTTTGCAACACCTGAATGGGACCCACCCTGTAGGCTCTTTGCACTGGCATAATCCATTCCCCAGCTCACCAACGCCATGACCAGACCCAACAGAACCAGGAAAATCCAGTCCTCTCCAAGCTTCTTGGTAACATATTTCTGGATGCGTCTAGCACAGTCTGTGGAAGGAAGAGTGAACAGAAAAACTGAGGGAACAGAAATGAAGTTTGTGTCTGTCTCTCCTCTCCCATGCTGGGAACTGACTACAATAAGGATTTATTTGGAAGCACCCTGGGCTCAGTGTTGAAGAACTGGTACCCATCCCTCTCTTACACAGTCCTGCAAATTCTTATCCAGTTTAAAAAAAAAAAAAAAAAAAAAAAAAGGAGGGGGGATTAGAATTCTTGTCTTTTTGCCTTGCTTAAATTCCATCTCTCTGGCTGGCTTACCCAATATCTTGTCACAGGGTAATGAAAAATGAATTGTTCTTGCCTTGACATTTGGAATAGTGCTCTTCTTTGATCTCTACTTGACTCTCACGTTTCAGGAATCTTTCATTGTTCTTTTGGGCCTCATTCTTATTCAGTAGTTTTGCTGCTTCCTTCTCTGCAAAGTTGGTTATCTGGTCTGTGTATTGGCCATAAAGCTAGAGAAACAGAAAACAAGAGAGATCAAAAGCAAAAGGTAAGGTAAATGCTCCTCCACAAATAGCATTAAAGATGAAAAGGCAGATCTACTAATAGTCAGAGGTGCAGACCCAAATGTACCCAAGCAGGGAGACAGAGACATAGAAACTTTGACAGGTGCAGCTCAACTTTTTTTTTTTTTTTCCTTGTCCTTTCTGCTTCCCTCTTCCCAATCTCAAAAATCTTTTCATCTCCTTTTTGTGCATACAAGATATGGCCACAGAATATTAGTTGCTTTCTAACACCCCGAGAAAGAGCCAGCTCTGGTCTGAAGAGATTGAGCAGGCTTTCTGGAGGTACAAAAGAAGGTCAAAATAGTTCACATGAGGCTGCCACCCTCAGGGCTCTCTCATAGACTTCAGCAGCACTGTGAAACATCTCTGAAGGTTTCTGAGAGGTATTACACTATCAAACAGGCTGCAGGAATGTCCTGCATCTGTTCCTCCTGCTGCCAAGGAATGCTTAAAGAGGGCGCACAGCCACTGATAGTGCCTGTGGAGGAAAAGCAGCATCAGCTCAGAAATATCACAGAGTTCTGCACACCTCCTCCCATTATTTACCCAAATCATCATACTAAGTCCTCACATACCTCCAGCTCCTCTGAATTTCCTAGGTACCTAATCTGGTCTTTGTCTTCAGATACTAAACTCGATATGCAGTTGATTATATGCAATTCACAAGTAGATACATGTGCTTACCAGTGACATTTCACACATAGATCTGCAGTAAACTTGGCAGTTGTGCCATCTTGTCAACAACAAGATCTCAAGGGAGCTTGAAGGATCCTGACTGTGCCCCCTTGTTTGTTTATCAGATTCGCTCAAGAGCAGCTATCTTACCTCACTCTTTCAGAGTATGGGTGGGGAAGGTGCGCATTTGAGAAGCAGAGAATAAGCCTCTCCTCGTCACATGCCCTGCAATGAACCAGCTTTGGCTTTACTTGAGTTCAGGTTACTACCCGATGCATGGCCTGTGATCTTGGCACTTCCCACCTGTGGGAACATGGCTCTTTGCTTTCTCCCCAGCCCAACATTTGCCTCTGTAAGATTTTCTGAGTGGCAGGAGGAGAGTGAGCAATGCTCCGATCAGCAAAATCAGACACCTCAGCTGGAGAATGAGAAGGCATATGAGAGATATAAAGCACTACCACACACTTGGGAAACATTTCTGTTTGACAGCTTCGTGTTTTCTCCTTTCGAGGTGACACGGGAGATGTTGCTCCTGTTCCCTGGGGATGTCCTTGGACTGAAACATCATCTATACAATGGGGATAAGGTAGCTGAACTGTTTGTAAGAGAATTTGAGATCAAACAGATTCAGAGACTCCCAGAAAGACTTACACTGGAAAGCACCTCTGGAGGTTTCTAGTGAAGCCTCTGCTCACAGCACACAAACTCCAAAGCCAGATCAGGCTGCTCAAGACTTTGTCCAGGCAACTCCTAAACATCTCAAAGAGTGGAAATTCCCCAGCTTCTCTGAGCACCTGATTTAGTCCTCTACCAATTCATATTTCCACATAACAAATATGACTGAAGGTCTTAAGTAGTTTATTTATTTATTTGCATATATTCCTCAAGAGGCACTTGAAATGTGTGCAATAGCTCCTTTCAAAATCCCCAGTGTTTTTTTCACAGAACACACATCCAGGCTTTTAAAAATAATCCTGTTTTTAAGGTGGCTTACCTGCTATACCTTAAACAAATTGATCCTATCTGAACACCTGAAAGTGTTCTTCCATTCATCACTCTATTGGAAGCTGAAAAATTTAAGGTAATTATTAACCTCATGATTATCAACAAGCTCTAGGCAAATCAAGCAATGCAGACTCTTTGCAGTAAGGAATGGCCATGCTCTGACCCTCATACAGACAGGACAGTGAAACATCAGGTTGAAGAACTTAATATACAAGGTAAGTTGTCAATATAGAATCCAGTCCTAAATAGCAGACTGCTCTTTTTTTTCTCTCACTGTGTCTGTTTCAGCTAGAAATGCCACGTACTAGCAGATTTTAGACAAATGCATCTTCACATCACCTCAGCTGATGATTCATTGCCTTTACATGGTCATGAGGGATGGGTTTATATCAAATACAGCTTAATTCAAACTATGAACTCAAACTCATGTCAAGTATGATATTCAAATTAGAATCTTCCATCTTCCCAGATAAAACAGCATGACAGGATAATAGCATGAATGGTAAAAGTCCTCATACAGTATCCTAGTTCACTGCTTCTATCTGGCTGGAAGACAGTGCACTCAGGATGTGGGAAAAAAGAAGTTAATCTCCAGATACAAAAATGAAGGTTCTATCCTGGAGAACAAGTTAGTCTCAACATATTTAAAGAATGCTTCAAATGTGTTTTGCTTCCCCAGGGCTCTGGCACTGTTAAAAATGATAGGAGATTGTGAGACACAGAAAGAATCCGGAAATCAGAGGATGACCCTAAAGCAAAATTAGGTTAGGTAAGAAATATCCACTCCATTAGAAGACATGTAAAATTGAAAATATAACACATTAGGACTTAAACTTCCTTCTTGTGATGCTCCGTCTCTAACAAAAGGAGCACAGGGCTTCTGAGCACCAGAAAAACTGGAGAGAATTTAAAAGATACCAATTACCACCTAAAGGGTAAAGGTACTATCATGCTTACCAGACTAAATGCTGAGTGAGAACATGATAATGGTGCAAAAACAGCGGAAGGTATGAATATCACTAATGGGGAGGAAAAAACCCCCAGAAACATGCAGGGAGAAAGCACAACCAGGGTAAAGTTCATTTTCAGGGAGGAAGCATTTCTTTATGTTTAACTGTAAACCAGCAGGGTTTGTCTTTCCAAAAAATATAGTGAACTTTCATTGCTTGAGTCATAAAGGAAAAGCTGCACAGAATTTCAGGGGAAAAGTATGTACACCAGCACATACAGCGTATTCCAGTCCTGAAAATCCCTTTCCCCAGCACCACCAGTGCAGGCTGATTTTAATCTGCTGCTCCTGGCCATTAAGGCAGTCTTGGGCTCTACTGCTCATCCAACACAAGAAAGATATGGACCAGTTAGAATGAGTCCAAAGGAGGGCCACGAGGATGATCTGAGGGCTGGAGCATCTCTCCTGTGAGGACAAGCTGAGAGAGTTGGGGCTGTTCAGCCTGGAGAAAAGAAGGCTCCGGGGAGATCTTATAGCGGCCTTCCAGTACCTGAAGGGACCTACAAGAAAGCTGGAGAGGGACTTTTTATAAGGGCAGTTAATGACAGAACTAGGGGAAATGGGTTTAAACTGAAAGAGGGTAGGTTTAGATTAGATATTAAGAAGAAATTCTTCCCTGTGAGGATGGTGAGACACTGGCCCAGGTTGCCCAGAGAAGCTGTGTCTGCCCCCTCCCTGGAAGTGTTCTAGGCCAGGCTGTATGAGGCTTTGAGCAACCTGGTCTAGTGGAAGGTGTCCCTGCTGATGGCAGGGGGGTTGGAACTAGATGATCTTTAAGGTCCCTTCCAACCAACACCATTCCATGGTTCTATGATTCTATGATTCCTCTCACTCCTGCGTTGTAGCCATCCTGCTATTCCTGAAATGATCTTCCTTAGATTTGTTTTCTGATGGAATGCAAAAGAGTAGACATGCTTGATGTCAAAAGTCAAACCTCCCAAAACTCCTTAAAAGTAGATGTAAACATTAGTAAAAAGTCTAGGCTCAACTGCTTACACATAAAGCCAACAAGGCACATGTGAGGGAAGGGGTGCAGCAACAAAATAATAGTTCTTGAATAACAGAAGAGGAAAGAGGAGAGGATAACAAAGAGGAGATCTAACAGCAGTCCCACCACCTGAAGGGAGAGGGGAGTCAGAGAGAAAAATCAGGGTGAGAATTCTTGGAGGGACACAGGGAAGGACTAAAGGAAAAAGTGTAACTTGCAAGAAAGAAAAGTCAGACTATGTATAAGGAAAACATGTCCCCACCCACCATCTCTCAAGGGTGTTTCAGCACAGGAACAGGTGCCCAGAGGGGCTGGGGAATCTCCAGTCTTTGAGACGTTCAAAACTTGCCTGGACAAGGCCTGTGCAACCTGACCGGATGTCCTGGTTTTGCTAGGATAGAATTAATTTTCTTAGTAGCTAGAATAGCTGTGTTTTATTTTCGGTATTGGTTTTGTTATGAGAAGAACGTTGATAAAGTATTAATGTTATTAGTTGCTGCTGGAGCTCAAGGCCACCGTGTTTGGCTGGTTCACAGCTGCATTAGGACTGGAAGGGGGAAGTGCAGTGAACAGCAAAACCCAGACCTGACATCTGGATGTGCCAATGAAATATTCCAGATCATATCGCTTCATGTCAGTATATGAACCAGGGTTGACCGGAAGACAGGGGCATTCTCTCTGGAATTGCTCGGGCTTGCTCTTCCAGGGTTTGGGTTTTGGGATTGTCTCTGTTCTGGGATCGTTGAATGGCACAAGCTGGGCATTGGTCAGCGGGTGGTGAGTAATTGCACTGTGTATCACTCATTTGTATATTCTGTTATCACTGTTGTTATCATTATAATTTTATTTTAATTAGTAAATAGTTTTTATCTCAACCTGTGTGTTTCCTTGCCCTTTTCCTTCCAATTCTCTCCTCTACTCCCTGGGGGGCAGGGGGAGAGTGAGAGAGCAGGCTGTGTTTGACTGCAAGCCAAACCACCACACCGGGCTTGGGCTAGAGACCTCCAGAGGTCTCCTCCCACCTACATCTTTCTGTGACTCTGTTATTCTATAATACTGCATTGCCTAATTACTCATCACACATCCCTCCCACTACACACATCTGTGTATTGCTGAGGGAGCTCTCTGCCATGAACACCCTTTCCATAGTCACGAATAACACAGCTTCTAAATATTTCACCAGCTGGAGCTGCTTTCTCATGCAGAAAGAAAACAATACAAAATCCTACAGTGTATAAGAATGCATATTTTTATCAATGTATGTTACATCATCTATCATATAGCTACTGTTACCTTAATTATCAAAAATTATGTATATATTGCTATTCTTATTGTACAACTATTATTAATTATTATATATTTTTTAACTACCAGTTATCTGAAGGTCCCAGGCCAAAGGCCAAGATTCCACTATTCTGGGATCCGTGTAAACCCAATCAAATCACAAAGCCAGTCTGAAATATTTTCCAACCTACATATAAAGCAGAAAGCAACAGCTACCAAAAGAAAAGGACAGAACAGAATCAAAATCTCTCTTTGTCAACTGGTTTTTTTTTTCATATAACAGTGGGGAAAAAAATGTTAACGGTTACCCTGCATGGAAACGGATGAAAACAAGTGCAGCAAGTTGTTTTTCATGCTAATAATGTAAGTGTTCATGTGTGTACATTAATATGCAGATTTACACTTTATCTGCATGTGCATGAATGGCTAGCAAATTGTACATATGCAAAGCAAGACTGGTTTTGCCAGAATATGTATATTCTGCATACAAAATTTCATACATGAACCTCCTTGCATACACGTGTATGTGATTGCTTATGTAAAAGTATTTCTAGGGCATATTTTTCAGTAGACCTGTACATTGTGTTCACAAATTGTGTTCACAAATGCATGCTTGCTTGGGGACATTACTGCCTGAAGATATGCATGGGAATGTATTTGATGGCCTGCTTGTTTGCACGTGAGGTTATTTACCTACATGTATGGAGCTGAGAACAAAGACACTCCTGAATGTGGCCATGGAACTGATTCTCTAATCTTTTGCAGTGTGGCACATATAATCCTCATTGGGATGCTTGTCTACAGGAAGAGATTTTCCTGGTGTCAAATGTGCCTTATTTCCTATTACCAAATCACAAAATTCTTCAGGAGATGATTAATGCAGCCCATCTCTCATTCCTCAACTGTTCACCTAAGTATTCATGTAAGGAGAAGCATCCACTCTGTATGAATTTCACATTCATGCACCTTCTCTCTCCCTCATCATTTGACTGGATCCTTCATTGCTCTAAAGCCCTCTTAGGTCAGCTTAGTCTGAGCAGAGTGGTAGGAAATAAGACAACAGGACTCTGCTGTAAAACCTCCCTTTTGCAGGAGGTTGTCCCAAAAGGAGAGATAGAGGAGACACAGGGGTTAAAAGAACAAGAAGCCATAACCAGAGTACATCTACGTCCCAGATATTTTTCTGAACCACTGTTTGTATGAACCAGAGCAAGAGTCAGGTCAGGTTTAAGGGTTAGAAAATCCCTCACTTACAGCTCTCCTAAGCCAAAACTATCAATATACCTGTAGAAATCTATGACCATGAATTGCTTTTTGGTCAGAGAAAAGTTAGAACAGAGCTCTGCATGGCTTTGTCTACACAGCTGTGCAGATAGATACCCATCTATAAACATCACTGTTATCTTTGGTTTTATTCACTCTTCTGCTTTACCTAATATCAGTAGGCAGCTGAAGACAGCTGCAGTTTCTCTTTGCTCTCACACATATATTAATGGTCTGGTTGATTTTCCCCATCCCAACTTGCTCATCCTAACTCTCTTTGTGTGTATGGCGGGTGAAAATGACTCGTGACTCAACATGCTTACATCCTGGATGTAAGTACAACCGTGAAAGTCAATGGGAGTCAACAAGCGAAGGGGAGAGTTGGTAGGACTGGGAATGGACAGGGTTGTGTGCTCTAAGGCACCGTCCTGGGAGCCCCAAGAGCCTACGTGATCCCAGGGAGACCTGTGCTGTCATAAATGTCTCAGTTGTCCAGCCCTACCTGTGGGTAGCTGAGGGAGTTCTCCAGGTAGTGCAGGTCGTCCCCTGTCCCCCCGGCCTCGCGTCCTGCCTCCAAAGGTATCCCGTAACGGGTGCATTTCTCAAAGCAGACATAGTCGTATTGTGGTGAGCCCCCCCACAAAGCTGATTTCGATCTGGGTTCCTGCGTCACGGTCTCTGAGCTCTCCATGCCTCTACTCGTCCTCAAGCTCAGTTATAACAGAGCTGCTACTCTGGGCCTTACCTAGAACCACCTCATGTTGTGGCTGAGGGCATGGCCTCTGCACTTCCTTCTGCTCCCCCTTCCTTTCTTTCTCTCCCCAGACCACTCTGACTTGTCCTGTTCCTGCACTCACTCTCTCTCTGCCCCTCCTCCTTGTGCCTCTCTCACTTTCTCCCCTTCCTGACCAAAGGCAGTGATTGCAGTGTTTAACTATATTTATAGCAACCTTCCTCTGCCACATGATTCCCCAGTGCCGTGTCTGATCTCAGCAAAAGGCACTAACTCTGCCCGGATTGAATATCAGGGGAGGACAAGAGGGGAACTCCTGAAGGAGAGGGAAGGGGAGGCAGGGAGGAGGAAAGGAGGTGGTAAGACAAACAGAGCTAGAAGTACAGAGACAGAAAGCAGACAGGAGGAAGCAGAAATGGTTATCCAGGAGATCTCTTCTTTCACACCTCCCCATCCTGAGCAAGTCATATCTGCAATGAGAACAAAATTCTTTGGGCTTTCTTGTTCTCTCCTGAAATATCAGGTGCCCAAAAGACTGAATGACAATCATAAAGATGCCTGCAATTATCGTGAGATAGAACAAGATAAGTGCACATTCAGTGTCCCAAGACAATTTTTCTAAGTCCCTGGTCCACAAAAGAAGCAGCAAGCCCTAAAGGAGAGATCAGGCACTCCTGCAAACTGATGAGAATTACACCTTCATCTCAGCCTTCCCACATGCCCTTATGGGGAACACTTTACACTTTTGAAGAATGTCACCTAACTGCTCTGTGAGTATTCAACTGTGGGTACATGCAGAAATTTATTCTTCTTGACGTTCACTTTTCCACGGACTAGAGCATTCAACAGTTCTCCGCTCTACCACTTGTTTCTCAGTCAGGCAAAAAAGCAATGAGCTCAGCCAATACCAGTGAGCTACCAGCCAGTGACAGGAATGAGAAGCATGAGTAACATGGTCTAGAGACACCTCCCAGTGCTGTCAGCGTGCTGCCTGTAATCATACGTCTTTTGATGGCTATTAATCAAAAAAGAGCAGTGACTTCAAGATCCTAGAAACTGTGTACAAGAAAAGAAGACCCTATGTGCCTCAAACATAGTCACTAAAGAGCTGCTATTAATTCCTCCTTCCTCCTCTTGCAAAATATTACCTCTCTACAGCAATGGTTTCCAAGCTTCTCACACTGCAGGGTAAGAGATTTGCAGGCAGGGTGGGAGAGGGAGAGAGAGAGAGAAAGAGGCAAAACACCTTTCTTTTTTGTCTCTAACAGTAGACTTACTATTTCATTTTGCAGATCCCTGTAAAACATTTCTCCTGGAGGCTCACTGTGCTTTTTCTCATTCTGCAAAGCAGACCATCTAGAGCAGGGTACAAAGAAAGTCTCCAAGAGAGAGACACTTGATTTCCTCTATAAACAGCCTCCCCCACCTACTCCAATGTTTATGCTAACAATATTCGTATGGATATCCGTTAGCAATAATATCCATATAGATATTATTAGTGTGTACAACCCTCACCTGGTCACATGCCAGGCAAGCTCTGAGTATTTACAAAAGTGAGATCAGTGCTGCCTCAAAACATATAGGTTTATCTGTTTTATTCTCATCAGCACTCACTTTACTGTCAACAAACAATGTTCCCTGGAGGAAGAATGTGGCCCATCAGTAGGGCAAAACTTGTAATGAAGCAACTTAAATAAGAGTTTTTAAGTCTAGGATACAGAGAAGAACATTTGGATACCCTGATAGGTTTCCATCATAACTGCTTCCAACATATTGAGATGTTTCTGGAAGTAAAATGTCACTATGGTTTACATAAAAACTGATGCATAGCATATACTATATAGTGTATAAAACATAAAAAACCTGTAAAGAATGTAAGTGTAGATCATCTATAGAAAACTTAAAGACCAACCACAGTAAGCCCCAGAAAACATCAATGCAGAACCTTTACACAAAGGTGCACTCTTCTAGCTCTTGTTTTTCAAGAGGTGCAATAATAGCACATCAGAAATTGCTACAGTATAAAAGAGAACCCCTCCTGCCAGCTAACCAAAGTCTGCTGTGTATCTTGTACAATACTGTTGTGGAATTTCCGTGGAAAATATTTATATAATTATAGCCTAAAATAAGGTGATCCTACACTGAAAGATCTTTTCCAAGAACAGTCCCTCCTAGCCTCCAAACTGGCCCCAGCCTCACAAACTCATCAATAAAAGCATGAAGGACCCAAAGGCCAACATTCACCAAATTACTCTAGAACTACTTCAACAGGAAACCTATCCTCATGAGGAATACAACCCACAAACCCCTGTGCCCTCACTCATGCTTTCCACAATGCAATACACCTCATCCATGGCACCAAACGGTAGACTTATAAGTCTATAGATGAATCTGAACAATCATTATGCACAGACAGAGGTACATGTGTACACTCTAAGGGCCTACCTCTAAGGACAGCTGCATCTAAGAACCTAGAATTTATCTAATTCCCAGTGGGAGAACCCTTCTCATCAAACAATCTCTCTACCTCTGATCTCTGTACCCAGATATTGTATGTCAAGGAAAAGACAGAACTGAAATTCACGGTATGAATGCATGACAAAATATATGCCATCTGTAGGACTACTGGGTTTATGTCACATTATTTCCTGTCTCCTGAACACTAATCCTATCATGTTCCATGCTTATAAATCACCTTTCTCCTAGAAGGAAAGCCCTTTGTCAGCTCTCTTGGCATTTTTAACATCCTCGATATTCCACAAGGTACCAATAATCTTTTGTCACAGCCTCACTAGCACTTAGTTAAATTGCAAGCAGCTCCTCTCAACTTGTATTTGCTTTGAGATCTGCTGCTTCTATTTCAGACTCAAAGAAGAACTTGTAAACCCAACACCTTGTCCATTTTATCCAGCTGGCACAGCTGACCTACTGAAAGCTATTATTCCAGCTCTACCCATTGTCTTCTCCATGTTTTCAGATGAGCAAAGTCCCAAAAGTACAGAATACTGAGCATGCCCTGCAAATATCTGCATTTCTGCACTACTGCTGCCCAGCAACTGCTGTCAAATCTCCCCTAACACTTTTCCTGTAATTTCCTGCCACAGTTCTTCTTTATATATTTTCTTTATTGCTCATCTATCCTGCTTTATACTACCAAGGCCTAGCACTGCTCTTCTAACAGGACACAGCAATGTAGTATTTCTGTTGCTTGAGAGATTACCAACAGACTCAGGAGACTAGCACAGAAGTGGAGGCAGATGTCACAAAAGAGGAAGATGTAATAACCATTCGGCACTAGTCACAAACACAGATGACCTGTACGTATGGCTTGACTCCTCAGGTGCACCTAAGCCTCTTGAAAGGGCTCACAGAAGTTTCTAGACTGCCCCACAGCACACCAAAGGAAAGGTACACAACCTCCTCATCCACTAGCTTTTTTCTTTGCATATTACAGGCCCTAGAGGAACTCCAAAGCATATTTCTGTGGTACTTCCTTCAAGCAGAACATCTTAATAACAGATGAAACTACAGTTACAGCCCTAATTAGGGTCTTAGGTAAGGGAAAAGAAAGGAATAGAACTTAGAACTCTCACCCAAGATGGGTCTTTTCTCCAGTCAGCCATCTATCTTTCTCCCTGCTCTTTCCAGTTTTCTCTCAGGTCTCCCTTTCTCTGCCTTTGTTCTTTTCTCCTGAATGCTTTTCAGGATGCAGAAATAGAATTCCCAGCCTTCTCACCCGACTGCCTTTATAGTGAAACCTCTGATAGTATGGGGGGAGGGATGATTGAAGACTTGCACTTCTCTCATGGTCCTGTCCCAGGAGATTTATCACCTGAAATCTTAGTGCTATTAATCAACAGTGACAAGCTTAATGTTGTTCCCTGTGCCCCGCCCACACAATTATCAACCATCACACTAAGTTCTGAGCCTTCTGCTTATACCAGACCTAGACTGCTTCACGACCTCATGGTATACAAACTTCATGGCCCATCACCAGGCTGCAGCATCCTCTGGAGTGAAACATAACATTTGTTTTTCAGCTGCCACCAGTACTGCATGCACAGACATTATAGCAGATGGTGATGCTGAGCCCTCTGCCACCCTAGAATTAAAGGAGTTGAATTTGCAGAGGTGGAGTTATTGTTACTCAGAACTATGCACACAGAACAGAAAAGCAGTCATTTCCAAATAAAGAAAAAATAATATTCTGCACTGTAGAAAACTCAGTCCCAGAGGTCCATAAGGTTGTGAAGGAGATCATATAAAAGATAGGCTATGAGACAAAGGAAACTTTAAAGGTGAAAGAGAAGAGGGAGTTTTGAAGGAGGAAGATGAGAAAGGTTACAAAAGGAGGACTACTTAACAGTAACAGAGGCACAAGGCAACACGAGGCAACAAGAGACAAAGAAAGCGCAGAGGGACGTGAGGGGATGAGATGCAGGACAGGAAGAAGTCACAGCAAGTGTACTTTGCCTCAAGCAATAGCTTCAGATGGAGCAGTAACAGAGTGAAAAGGCAGGAGAAAGACGTCAGTAGACGTAAGATAAGGCAATGTCTTGTAGATGAGAACATGGTGCTTGAATGGGACATTTTATTAGACAAGATACCCATGGAGGCTTCAAAGAGCTACAGGAGGTGGTTGGAGCTTTGGGAGAGAAAGCAAGCTGTGAAAAGGGTGAGGAAGAGGGATGGAGATTGGGAGAAAAGACAGCTTTTATAGTGAAAGAAAGAAATAGACCTGTGGACTAAGGCTTGAGCAGTAGCAAAAGACAGAAATTTAAGCTGTGCAGGAACACATTGTAAGCAAAGCTGAACATGGAGAGATGATGACAGAGAACTCTCAGAGAACACTTGAAAGAAGGGTTGAGTTCACAGTAAAAACTAGAAAGAAAAACTCCAGGAGGTTTAAGGGCTTTCATCATGGAGAAATAACAGGATGGTATGATGATATTCAAGATGACATATACTGACTAATACTAGACTGAATAGAGCAGAACTGACAGAAACAGGGCAGATTTTGAGAATCATCAGCTTTTGATAACTCAAGTAGGAAGATGATGATGTGACCAGATGAGAGTAGAATGGAAAAAAAAACAACCAAAACAATCTCACAATTGAAAGCAGATAAATACTTATAGCAATACAGGCACATGAAGGAGCCATTGAAGTAGAAGTTGTAATAGATGAACTTGGAAGGAAAGTTGAAACAGATCATGATGTGACATGATGACATTGTGATATGACATGATATGACATCGTGATATGCCATGACTTGACAAAAAACAAATGAGCTTTAAAGGGGCAGGGTTATGTCCCAGTTCCAGAAAAAACCCAACTGTGATGGTCTGAACAGAGCACTTTGTGAATTCACTTCAAAATCAAATTAGACAAAGCCATACCTATGTTGATGCTGGTACCTAAGGTAAAGTACTTGTTAATTTGAGAGTGTATTATCTTACACCACAGTGTGGCCCCAGTTTGGAACTGAGAACAAAAAGAACAAGCAGAGAGAACTTAAATGAACTCAGCAGCAGGAGCAAGACACAGAAAATCAGATGAAAGAGAAGATAGTAAAATTAGGTTTTATAAATGGATCTCAACTCATCCAGAACTTTAAGGTGGATCTGACTGGATGTCCTGGTGAGCTCTCCAGTCAAGACCAACAGGCTTCAAAACCAAAATAGAACAGTCTTTACTAGAATAAAAAGATTATTTGATTTTTGTAAATAGAGAAAACTTCAAGCATGTAAGTCAGGAAGCACAGAAATAAATATATATTTTATACACAACTCTTGCCCCACCCACTGCGACCTTGGTAGCAGTTAACTCAGTGACCTTCTGAGCTGCTAAAATCTTGTGCTTACACTCCACTGCCTAGGAGATTGTTTCCACACCTCCACAGCTTGGGTGGCTCCTCCCCTGCAGCTGCGCCTCTTCTTAAATTGCAGCCCTCAATTGACTCAGTGCCTCTCTAGCCTACAGCACCTTATAGCCTCTGTTAAATAATCTCTTCCTTGCTTATGGTCAATGACTTTCCAAAGGAAGAGGTGTCTTTCTGGTGGCATAGAGATCTGATTGTCTTGCCTTAGAATAAACTGAGAACAAATCAAATAGGCACAGTGTGTATACAAGTATCAAAAGGTTAAAGAAAAAAAAAAGATAAAAAATATTCAGCTGCTGAGAGGTGGAAAAATTTTGTGACTATGTTATGCATCCAAAAGCTGCTAACGTCAATAAGAACTAGCAAACACTCGATGAACTGTTTGAAGTGTGTTCAGTGGATTTCTTATTTTCTAGGAGAATAATGTTGCATCACAAACATTCTCTGAAGTAATCAGCTTGAAGACCTTTTTAGCCAAAGAGACTAGAGGAACATCCAGGAAATACAGATTCATCCCTATTGATCAAAATATATTCAGGATGCTTCTAAGCTTGTGAATTTGTTATTATTCCAAGACAGAGAATCTCCAGACTCTCTGGGAAATTGCTCTTTACCTGTGTCTCTAGATGATGAGCTCTGATTCCAAAGGGTGAACATTCCCTAATAAGCCACCTGCATGATAAGCTGTATTTTGTTGTCAGCTGAAACCATCCTTGAGAGGTGGCAGGCAGTGCATGGTAGATAATTTGTGCCTTTCTTCCCCTCCTCCCTGTAGATTGCTTGTTGCACAGGTAAAACTAATAATTGCACATTCAATCTGTCAATCACGCAGTTACGCAGCAGCATGGCTGACATCATAAAGGTGGAAAGAAAATGCAGAGATGAGCTGTGCAGAACTGCACTGGCACAGGCTGTGCTAGGGCTCCTGGTTTTGTACTGGACTTGGCTAATGTCAAGAGAAGAATGCTGCCTCTTACATAAGCCATGGCCAACTAGGAAAAAATGTGGTTGTAGCTGAAGTTTAGGAGGAGGACTGGCATATGAACCAGAATTATTTGTTATGGGATGAAAAGGGAAGGTTTTAAGGACATGTTAGGGGTATGCTTGAACTGGGGTTAGGCAAGAAGAACAGACCTTGGGTACGGACACATATCTCCAGGAGGCCGTGGCTAGGATTATAGGTATGTAAGGAGAGAATTTATTTTGTTTTCCTGATACATGTTCAACTTCCACGTGCTTGAAAAGTCACTTCTTTGAGGCCCTAGAGTCTACTGATCTCTCTGAGAGGGTGATCACACTACTGGTTTAGGGGGCTGGGGGAGCAGACTGGTTGAAAAGGACAGTGCTACTTTGTTAAGTTCTGGAACTAGCAATCAAGAAACTTGATGCAACAAAAAATGATTTTCATTCAGCTCAGCTCTCCATTCCAGCTGATGCATGGCCATATGAATGTTAGAAAAGAAGGGGGTAGGAACATGGAAAGGAGGAGAGGGACTGCCTTTTCAGATTGCAGCAGATACATAAGCAACCATAAACCTTTTCTCAGTAACACTTGGGTCTTGCTTACATTTCAGACTCTCACCATTATTAGAGTAAATGCTATAAACTACTTACATGAACTCCATGAAAGTCAAGTAGTAGTTGCTGACTGTACTGGTGTGTCCTGTTCTGTCCTGTCTCAGCTAACTAAGATAAATTATATCAATATAAAAGTTGTAACACAGGCATGTTATCACTACCATTAAAGGTTTTTTAAATACCTTATTTACTGTCAGAGTTAAACTAGTAAATCTTGCACATTTTTGACTAAGCTTCCTGCTTTCCTTCTCCTTCCCCCATCCAAATGCAGATACCCATACAAAACCACCCAGACCTCCTGCACAGCAGGAGTCTTGCCTGTTTCCCATGAAACAATCTCCGGTAGTAATATGAGATAAAGACAAAGGTAAACAGAGGGAAGATAGTAGTTCTCTTGGCAGCCAGAATAATAAATCCATCACAAGCGAGGACAAAGCAATTCCCCTGTGGCAATAACCTTTCCTGTTATCACTGGCTGCTGATGCGGGGATGATAGTGAGAGTCAGCATGACAGTTCACTGGACTCCCTCCCTCTTTTATCAGCCCCCAGCTTTGACTTATAGGAAAGTGTTGGGAGAAGAGAAGGACTGCATGGAAAAAATGCATCCAGGTTGAAGTACTGTGTCACACTTTGGCATGAAGGCTGCAGCAAGTCTTTTCTCTGTGGAACTCATTAAACTAAAGCTGTTGTATACTTACCAGTAAGAGTCAATTTTGACTGTCACAAGGGGAAAAAGGTGTAAAAAGTACCCCAGGGCCATGAGGAAGCATCTCCAGATGTCAAAGAGACAGGAGGCCTAGTATTCAAGCCCAGGACAAGACAAGTCAGCAGAAGAAAGTGCAGAAAGTGCCCCACAAATGACATTGTGTCCCAGGGCTGGCATTTAATGTTCATGCCATCTAAAAATATTAAACCTGGAACAGGAATCCAGGGAGTGGCTGTAAATTGACATTAGAAGCTATTGACCAAAGTCAGGAAAGGTGGAGGGATAATGGGTCAATGAAAAAGAAGGTGCAGAAGATAAATGATAGGACTATTCTAACTTTCATTTAACTTGAAAACTGAAAAAAGTTCTCAAAGCTGCTAACTCAAATCATTTATGAGGCATTACTGATTTTTGGATGCTGTGTTTGTATGTTTAATAACATTGTCCACAGCCTTGCTCATGTGCATTACTTGGTGTTCAGTCAGCAAAAATCACTGAGAGTATTTGTGGTATCTTGTTCAGACATTGCCATAGGTCCTGGGTGTAACCCAATTTTTGCCTATCTGTATCAGAGTCATATTCTATTCCACAAATTTAGACATAATGTCTATAGCATATTTTGATAGGGGTCAGTCAGAAACCAACCAACCAAACAAAAAAGTAGAGTTGATGCTTGTGAAATTTTTTCAAATCCCACTCCATCTGCTGCTTGTCCCCATGTCAGGGAGAGAGTCATTGCTCTCTGCCAGGTGCACTGCCTGGGCTGGGGACCTTTACTTCGCAGGAGAGGGACAGAAATGTCCCAGTCCACAGGCTTTTGGGCACTGCGAGGACCATGGGCTCACATAAGTCTGCAAACTCCTCACACCCATCATGCTAAGGGACAAGCTGTGCCACCTGCAGAAGACTCATTGCTCTGGGAAGAAGATGCAGTCAACCCTTGCCATAGCAGATTATCACCTTATCTTCATCAGTGAGGGCCCTGTTCAAGGAGGGAAGGGAACCCACAGGGCTGAGTGCTTCCTTGTACCACAGGGACCAGAGCTCTGGCTATAGAACTTGCTGGTATATAGGACTTCTGGTACCACTGGCACCACAACTGCTGGCCAGCAGGTTCCTCACCCCCCCTTCTCTCTCCCTTCAAGTGAAACAGCTCAAAATCCCATCATTAAACCCCATGAGATGGAAGAGAGGTCTCTGTAGGGGTGAGGTATTCTCTGTGCTTTGGGCAGGAGAGGTTTCCATTGTGTTCCTGCAGGAGACTTTTACCTTGGCAATCTAGCTGTACTTTGTGGCAAGACCACTTGGCGAGACATATCTGTCTATACAATTTCATAATGAGTTTTGCCACATCGATCGTTACAACCGTGTCCTCTCTTGACTCTGAGTCTTGAATGCTGGGGAACTTGATCGTTGTACTGAATCAGCTGCTGCACATTCAGATCTGTTTGGAAGTGCATTAACGTCTTTAATATCTGTGTTCTGATACCAAGTCTGAAATGTCATTTTTATCAGGATGCCTTCCTCAGCAGTATCGGTCCACAAGAGTGTCTGGACCTGGATGTGAATTTTGCTTTTGCCCTGCTCACAGAGCTGCTTTGGAAAGAAGAGGCAGATATCATTGGGAAGGCAGGAGGTCAGCACTCCCTAAAGGACACCTGGTACCACTTCCAAGCAGATAATAGTGCTTCTTTCACCTATGTCCAAGTAGAAGAGATCAGGCTGAGCCACTCCTGACTAGACAGAATCTGCATCTCGTACTGAAACATCTCACAGACAGACTCTGTCACTGAACTGTTGTCCTTCCCAGACAACCATCTATTCCCTGTGAGGGCTGCTGTCACTTCTTGCTGGTCTATTGGCCACTTTAACATGGGCATTGTAGGACCTGTGGAATGACAGGGCCAAAAGCTTTGGGAAATGGTGTGTGCCTGGCTAACTCGTCACAGCTACACATAGAGGTGGCTGCTAGTAGAAGGATGTGGCAACAGGGCAGCTCTAACAGGAGGTTTTGGAGCTGGATGGTTGTTTGCCTGTCTTGTGATCCATCTTTCTACTGTGAATGTT